GCCCAGTCCCCCACCCCTGCACCAGGAGATACTGGAGGCCCTCAGCAAACAGAGAATTCCTCCCAGCCTCCCACCAGAGGGGATGCCCTGTCTCTACTTTGGTCTTAGTGTAACGATTAAGCTTACCCATTGTTACATTGGCAACATTTAAGAGTAAGGATAACATAGTCTCCAGAGACGGAACTTTTTTTAGGATGATTGGTTTAAACGAAATAAAAACCATAGGGAAACTAACAGAGGGGCCTTTTCCCAGTGCCAAGCTGTGAGAGGGCCTCTGCCACAGCTTTTCCTATTCTTCAGATTTTGTTTTCCCGTGGCCCTGCTTTTTTTCCTGCATCCAGTTTGCAACAGAGGGGAGAGGCATTTTCCGTTCAAAATAGAAATGTCCCTAATCACACCTTTAATTTATCTAGGAAGCTAATCACTCCTCTTAGATAATCTGTTGTGCGGGTGTAATTTCCATTGTACTTGGTGTCTGTGATATTGATAATGTTGAGTCTGACATTAACCCATAGATGTTCCTCCAGTCTTCAGCACACAGTTACCCCGATGCTGCCCCAAACTTTCTAACTCTTACACTCCAGTTTAGTGCTGGTTCCTGAGGGAGCTACTTACAATGTTTTACAAACTTTTCTTTCCTCTCTGCCATATCTCCTGGTTACAGTAGTTTCATGATCCTGCCCGTCTGCCGCCTGAAGTACATTTTTTGTGTTTTCCTTTTTTTGTATTATTTTTACGTGGACCATCAAATGAGATCTGACTGGTACAGGAGGAGATTGCCCCTCCTTCTCCGGCAGAGCATCTGGTGGATTCGAACCGCATATCTCTGGGGTTGCCATGCAGCTTCTTGCCACTAGGCCACCAGAGCTCCCCTTGGAGCACGTTTTTTATGACCACAAGTTGGAGATGTGTTTTCACATGGTTTGTTCTTTCCCTAAAAAGTCTGAGATTAGAGGGCGTGACTGTGTCCTGGTAGAACTTGGTTCCACTTTGATTGCAGCTGTCTCAGTTCCTCCATTCTTTTCATTTGCATATGTTGTCCCTACTGGTAGCAGAAACCAAAGAACTGTTAGTGTCACTCTTTTTTCTCTTCCTGTATCCTGTATCCAGTCAACCACCCTCTTAAGTGTTCTGTCCATAATTTCATATCCCCTAAGTAAATTTTGCTTTCCAAGACAGACTGCAGCATAAAAGCTACATTATTACAAGGGTTTTCCTTAAGCCACACAGAAACTCAAAGGTTTCTTATTCTTCTCTTTACCACTCTCCCCCCAGAAACACACCTTACAAACTTTGTGGACCGTTGACAGTGACTATCCTCACACTGACACTAATCTAACTATCCTCACACCAATACTTTCATCATTTCTCCCAAGATGAATGCCATTGGGTTAGGGTTGTATAGATGTTTGTCATGCTACCTAAGTTCATGATTTCCAACCCCAACAACTCCCCCTTTTTTATTTCCGTAACTGCTCTCCGTCTGTTGAGTTCAGTCCTCCGTTGGAAGGTCTCCCAGAGCCCAGAGCCGTCTGAGGAATAACTCCCTTGACTGGAGAGATAGAGGCTGGTAGTGCAGAGACTGGGGAGCAGTGGTCCAGGCTGACTGCACCTGCACAGTGTGTCCCCGGCAAGCAAGCCTTCCAAGACTGAAAAACTAGCACTGAGGTCTCAGGAGCTTCTGTCAACCTGTAGTAGCCTGGGACTAGTTTCCTCTCTTAATGCTGTCTTCTTCCTGCAACAAATACTTAAGTAGAAAACAAACAGTTAGTGACTGACTAGGAAAGACGCTGGAATGGTAAACCTTAGACACCCACAAACAAGTTATTTCAGTATGCCGTCTATCTGAGGAACAGGATTTAATCAATGAGGAAGAGAATGTACAAAGTGAAGAAACAAGACTGATATCTGATGATTATTTTTTTAACATGGATGTTGGTAGACACTAGTAATTTTGCCATATTAGTATGATTTCTCACATTGTAGGTCCATCAGGTTCATGCTTTGCTTTTGAATTCTTGTTGGCGAGGAGGGTTCCTTGCTGATTCACAATATGTCGTGTGTTTTAGGAACCCTTGTTCCTGGAGGACGTAGTCATTCTTTTCAAGCAGGAAGAGTGGGCCTTGCTGAACGATGCTCAGAAGAATCTCTATAGGGATCTGATGATGGAAACTTTGAAAAACCTGGACTTCATAGGTAAAAATCGCATTTCAGTATTTTTTTTCATCTTTTTAAGGCATCCAGTGTTAATAAAGTGCCTCTTAAAACCAGCTGGCAGGTCAACTATGAGTCAATTTCAAGTCTACAGTATGTAACCACAGGGAATTGTCTTTTTGATTGAGGAGACTATTTATCAGATCGTTTTTGCATCTGTCCAGGAGGCCCTTTTCTAGTTTATACTCTTTGTGAATGGTGTGATGTTCCCTGTGTCCTGTATAATAGTATATGCATACTGTATGATGCTGTATGTGTACTGTGTCAAATCTGTCTACAAAAGTATATGTGTGCTTTGTGACTCTGTGTGTAGGTCTGTACTAGGTGATACTGTGTGTGTCATGTGATGTTGTTGTTGTTATGTGCCGTTGAATTTCTTGCGACTCATAGCGACCCTATGTACAACAGCCCTAAACCCTGCTCTGTCCTGTGCCAATCACACTGCCTCTGACACATCCATCCCGATTACCCCAGTCACCGAATCAATCCATCTCATAGAGGGTCTTCCCCTCTTGCACCGTACCTCCAACCTCCCCAGGATGATGTCCCTCTCCAAGGACCCGTCCCTCCTTACAGCATGTCCAAAGTATGTCAGACGAAGCCCCAGAATCCTTGCCTCCAAGGAGCAGCCTGCTTTAACCCTCTTCAGGATGAATCTGTTTTCTTGGCAGTCCATGGTGCATTTAATACTCTTCTCCAGCACCATAGCTCAAAGGCATCAATTCTCCTTCTATCCTTCCTAGTCATTGTCCAACTCTCTGATGCATAACAAGTGATTGCAAAGACCATGGCCTGTATTAGGCGCACCTTAGTCTCCAGGGAGACACCATTGCTCTTCAATACTTTGAAGAGGTCCCTAACAGCAGACTTTCCCATAGCAATACATCTTTTAATTTCCTGGCTGCTGGTGCCAAGAGTGTTGACTGTGGAGCTGAGCAAACGGAAGCTGTGAACAATCTCAATCTCTTCACCATCCATCCTGATGCTGCCAATTGGTCCAGTGGTGAGAATCTTTGTCTTCTAGACATTGAGCCTCAGTCCATACTGAAGTCTGCAGCCCTTGACCCTCTGCAGCAAGTACTTCAGGTCCTCCTCAGTTTCAGCAAGCAGGGTTGTGTCATTGGCTTAACACAGATTATTAAAAGATCTTCCACCAATCCTGATGCCACACTTCTCATTGAGCCCAGCCTCTCAAATAATATGCTCTGCATCCAGGCTGAAAAGGTATGGAGATAGGACACCTCCCTGGCATACACCCTTCCCAGTTTGGAACCATGCAGTGTTACCCTGCTCTGTTCTGACAACTGCCTCTTGGGCCAAGTATAGATTTCACATTAGCACGATTAAATGGCCTGGGATTTCCATTCTTCTCAGAGTCAGCCACAGTTTGTTATGATCCACACTGTCAAACGCCTTTGCATAATCAGTGAAACACAGATAGACATTCTTCTGGTATTCCCTGCTTTCAGCCAAGATCCATCTAACATCAGCTACAATATCTCTAGTACCACGACCCCTTCTAAACCCAGCCTGGACTTCTGGCAATTCTCTACTGATGTGCTGTTCCAGTCGTTTTTGGATAATCTTCAGTAAAATCTTGCTTGCATGTGAAATCAATGAGACTGTTCTGTAGTTTCCACACTCTGTGGGGTCACCCTTCTTTGGAATGGGAACAAATATAGATCTCTTCCAGTCTGTTGGCCACGTGGCTGTTCTCTGTATTTCTTGGCACAACTTGGTGAGCACGTCCAGGGCAGCATCTGTGAGCTGAAATACGTCAATTGGTACACCATCTATTCCTGGGGCTTTATTTTTTGCTATTCCCTTCAAAGCAGCCTGAACTTCTTCCTTCATCACCATAGGCTCTTGCTCATATCTTATTTCATTAAACTCTTCTGTATCTGCCAAATCCTTTTGATACAGTGACTTAGTGTATTCCTTCCATCTTCTTTTAGTACTTCCTGGATCATTTCATATTCTGCCGAAAGCATCCTTGATTATAGCAACTCTAGGTTTGATTTCAGTTCCTTGAGCTTAAGAAATGCTGAACGACTTCGGCCCTTTTGATTTTCTGACTCTAGCTCCTCGCACATTTCATTGTAGTATTTTGCCTTGTCATTCCGAGCTGCCTTTTGGAGTCATCTGTTCAGCTCTTTAGTATCTTGAATTCTTCCTTGTGCTTTGGCTTCTCTACGCTCCAGTGCAGTCTTGAGAGTTTCTTGTTGTGTGATAGTGTGTGTAAATTGTGTGTACCGTGTGATACTATGAGGGTTTACTGGATGTTAGTGTGTGTGTGTTTTGCGTGGATAGTAGCTCTTTCCTTCCTGATCATAAGTATGTACTAGATGAATATTCTAGTTCTTGACCCACTCAGAGGAAAGACATTTAATTCGCAATTCCTTTCATTTGTCCCAGAAGTACTTCCTAGTGAGTAGTTTGTTATCCATAGTGAAAGAAATGAAATTGAAAACTACCTATATTGGTATGTTTTCAAAGCAGTCTGTGCTCTTTTACTCCTTTCCATTCCTTTTCATCATATCAAACTTTGTTTCTTTTTTGTGGCAGGTATTGAAAATGTTTGTGATAGAGGAGCATTATTCCCTGAACGTACACAGTTGAAATCCCTAAAGACCCAGCTCTGGCCTTCAGGAAAAATTTCAAAATTCCGTGACAGAGAAGGTCTACGTAAAAACCGAGAGAAGACTTTGAGGTGAGTTTCATGAAGATTTAAAACGAAACCTTGTAGGAAACATAATAATTTCGAGGCAGCCGTCGGATAGTCTCGTGATTTATGAAACCAGTTCCAGGAACAGTATTTTGGCTCGACTTCGATATGTCAGCCTCCCTGAGGGAAAGCCCACACGTCTTCACTGGGCTGTATCATAGATAAATGGCAACATGCTTACTCACAACTGCATGTTGTGTATTTTTACCAGAGCTCCAGTCATAGAGGATCTGTGTGCAGGGACTGAGGGCCGCCACCCTGGGAAAACCTTCATCAGAATTCCAAATCGTTCCTGCTGGCCAAGCAATCGTCTGGAGGTCAACCTGCTGAGGACTCGCATTGGTGAGAGCAGCTATGAATGTCACACCTGTGGGCAACATTTCTGCACCTTCTCGATATTTTGGATCCATGTACTAGACGAGCATGAGTGTACAGAAAACTCTGAAGTCTATATTAATCCTTTCCTTTTAGTTACCCATAAATCATTTCATTTTCCATATAAGCGTTGTGAATCTACGGAAAATGGGAGAGTTGTTCCTTTTTCCTCCCCACTTACGAGCACATCAGACGTCACAGTAGACAGAAGCCTTCACAGGGTAGAGCGGCCTCATCCGTGTAAGATTTGTGGAAGATCCTTCCGTTCTTCCTCAGGCCTAAAGAAACATGCAAGAACCCATACACGTGAGAAACCTTATGAATGTCAACAGTGTGGGAGAACCTTTCCTAAATGTCCTCATCTAATTCTACATTCAAAAAGCCACGTAGCGCAGAGACCTTGCGAACGTAACCAAAGTGAGACATCATTTCAATGTCAACAGTGTGGGAGAACCTTTCCTAAACGTGCGCATCTAACTCTACATTCAAAAAGCCATGTAGCACAGAGACCTTGTGAACGTATCCAAAGTGAGACATCATTTCAATGTCAACAGTGTGGGAGAACCTTTCCTAAACGTGCGCATCTAACTCTACATTCAAAAAGCCACGTAGCACAGAGACCTTGGGAACGTGACCAAAGTCAGACATCATTTCTATGTCAACAGTGTGGGAGAACCTTTCCTAAACTTGCTCACCTAACTCTACATTCAGAAAGCCATGTAGCACAGAGACCTTGTGAACGTAACCAAAGTGAGACATCACTTCAGCAGGCAAGTGAGCTCACTGAACACAGAACAGTTCACACAGGACAGAGATCTCAGGAACACAAGAAAAGTGGTAAAGCCTTTCGTGACTCTGGCCGTCTCTTTAAGCACAAAAGACTGCACACAGGAGAGAGACTTTATAAATGTCAGGACTGTGGGAAAACATTTTCTAATGGCGGTCACTTCACCGCACATAGAAGAATTCACGCAGGACAGGCGTCTTACGAATGTCAGGACTGTGGGGAAACGTTTTCACTGTGGGGTTTTTTGCGGGAACATAGAAAAACGCACACAGCGGGGACACCCAATAAATGCGAAGAATGTGGAAAAGCCTTCTGTAACACATCTACCCTACGTAAGCATAGAAACATTCACACAGCAGAGAGACCTTACGAATGCAAGGAATGTGGGAAAACCTTTCATGTCCTGCGCCATCTCCAAAGACATTCGAGAATTCACACAGGAGAGAGACCTTATGAATGTCAGGAATGCGGGAAAACTTTTGGACAACGAGGTACTCTCCTTGCTCATCGAAGAATTCACACAGGAGAGAAACCTTATGAATGTAAAGAGTGCAGGAGGACATTTTCACGGTCAATTTATTTGCTTATCCATACAAGAACGCACACGGGAGAGAGGCCGTATGAATGCGACGAGTGTGGAAAAGCCTTTTATGACACATCGAACTTACGGAGACATAGACTAATTCACACAGGAGAGAAACCGTTTGAATGCAAGGAATGCGGGAAAGCATTTAATTACATGCCCCATCTCCGTAGACATGAGCGAATTCACACATGAGAGAGACCATAGGAATGCAAGGGGTGTGGAAATCCTTTACGGGATCAAGCATGTTCATTTCTCATGGAAGAATTCCCACAGGAGAGAGACCTTATGAATGTAAGGAATACAGGAAAACATTAGTACACCCAGGTGACTTCCGTGCACATAGAAAAATAAACCCAGGAGATAGATGTTGTGAAGGTCAGGAATGTGGAAACCATTTCTGCCATCAAATGAACTCACTGAACATTGAAGAGTCCACACAGAAGAGAAACTTTTATCAAGGTAAGGAATGTGGTCCAACCTTCAGTGAATGAGTTTCCTGCACAGCACAGAGAAGAAGTCACACAGAGAGACCTTGTGAAGGTTAGGACTGTGGGACAAGTTTTCCTCGTCTGCTGCACTGAATATAAGCATGGAAGAATTCACCCAGGCGAGAGACCTTAGGAATTTAATCAATGTGGCAAAGCATTTCTGCGGTCCTCTGACCTCACTGGACATGGAAGAGTTGACACAGGAGAGAAAACTTAGGAATGTAAGGACTGTATGAGAAAGCATTTGCACAGTTAGGTCCCCGCGTGACACAAAGAAGAAGTTACAGAGGAGAGAGAACTTAGGAAAGTAAGGAAAGGAGAGAAAGCTTTTGAGACTCTAGTACGTGAGTTATCCATGACGAGTTCACCTAAGGTAGGCCATCTGAAGGGGAAGAACATGGGGCAGCCTTTCTCCAATCAGACACCATGAGGACATGCACAGATACACACAGCAGAAACCTCTTACGTATGTGAGCAAGGGAAGACACAGTTTATCTGTTCCTCACTGGATATGTTGACACTCACCCTGGAGACAGGCCGCATGAATGGAAGGAATAGAGGAATGAGTTCACTCCATCTTCTGTCCTCAACAGGCACCTGAGAAATCAAACTCCATAAGACAGATGAATCCAAAAACAAAGAAACACTTAGTCTCCCTGGTCATGTTCCAGAGGAGAACTGTCAATCTGTCTTGGGGAGTGAGATATTTGCAGTGCTTTTTAGATTTGTGTTGTGTGTGGGTGTCCTTCATTGGTTCTTGCAGCTGGATCTATTTTGCACCACTGTGTTAAATTGATCTTTTGTGGGTTTGCTTTTTGTTTTGTTTTCATTTTCAAATGTAAGGTTTTAGAGGGACTGTTTTCCCAGATCCATGTTAAAATCGTCCTCTCTTAAAGTTACAGATTCACTGACTATTACCAATCCAGCTGGCGGGGGAAAGGACAGGGGAAATACATTCTTTTTATAAATTTTCATGTTTGTAATTGATGTCATTCCTATGATTAAAAAAAGATCTCTTTTGTACAAGAGGTTTCATGTCATTAATAGTCTTCGTTAATTGTCTGCTGGTTGAAAGGGCACTGTGGTTTCTATGCAGACACTTTCAGGGTGATATTTGGTGAGCATCGAAGTAGTTAACTTTGCATTTCGTACTGTAATGTCACAGCAACACAGGTGCGGAGAGTTATGTCGACTTCCATGAGTGTCTTGGTCGTGCTCTGAAGAACATCAGATTAACAAAATCATTGATTCTCTGAAGCCTCTGTTGGCTACAGTGTCATAGTTTGCTGCCTAGTGCATTTCAGGCACCTCTTTGCTCTGAAGTAGAAACCCATAGAGGCTGGCATTGAAACGTGTGACATTTCACAGCAGTTTCTTACTTTAAAAATCCTAGTCGATGGTCAGCTATGAAAGGGTTTGGGTTTGACAGCATTGAAGTTTCATTTTAACACTTAACCACATAACTCTTAGTCCATCAGAGCATCTTACATGTATT